GAGAGAGAGAAAGAGAGAGAGAGAGAGTGTGTGAGAGAGAGAAAGAGAGAGAGAGAGTGTGTGTGAGAGAGAAGCGATAGAGACAGTTAGAGAGGGGGAGGGAATACCGGGGGTAAATAATGCGCTGGATATTGGAGGGCGCCACTTGAAGATGCTACGTAATTTGTCTCCGTGTATGTACATTGTACTTACTTTTGTTATTTCATTATTTAAATTATATTTTTGTGATACCTTTTGCCACATCGTGAATAACTTCAGCATGTTCGTCTTCTTCCCCTTTTTTTCTTTTTTTTTCTATTTTTCTTTCTTTTATTTTCATTTTGCCTTTCTAGCAGTCAGACGCTGGTTCTGAGACATAATCATATCCTCAACAAAACATTTTTCTTCTTGCCATTCTGCCTGCCTGAGTTGTTTTGGTTCCACGAAGTCCGGTGTCCATTCTTCTGTTGGGTTTCCCCTTTCAGTTTTCTCTCTAACCCTTGCTTACAGAATAAGTTTCTTGAGTGTTTTCTGGGACATTAACTTCCTTTAATATCATGACTTCTGTATCTGATGGGACGCCAGGGTTTCGGGTGTGATGGTTACTCTCGTGGCCTTTGCTTGCTGAAGACGTGAGTTTGATTCCTGTCTGAGAAAGTTGTGAGTTTTTTGTTGTTTTTTATATGTTTGTATTCTAAGTTGTATCTTTTGGCCCTTGTTGGGTCTGACAGGCGGGGTAGATGAAGCTCCAAAATGTTTTGAATTTTGTTGACAGGGGTGGGAAGGACTGTAATTCTATAATCTTTTGATGCCTTCCTTGAAGGTGGTATTTTAGGTATAAGTTAGCCCGCCTCCAGGCATTCCCTTTTTCCACTTTCAGACAGTGTATTGGTTGGTTGTCTCGAATATTCCATGTAGAAAATCTTCATCATCAAGGTCTGGTCTGCTTAGTTTTAGTTTTAGTTTTAATTTTAGTTTTAGTTTTAATTTTGGTCAGCAAATTGTTTTTCTTTATCGTGATTTGTTTGTCTTCTCTTGGGAACGTTACTGGACTTTTGTTTATGGTGTATATTCATTTTAGATGAAAGTCAGATGAGCCCCCATCTGAAAACAGTTGCCGGGCGTAATGAAGGGCTAAGTGGCTTAAGCCCCACCCACCCCCACCCCTCAACTCTTTCCCTCCGTAAATGAATGTTTCTTCTAATAAGCGAGATAATCAGTTGAAACCGTTAGAACTGTTTCAGAATCTTCTGCCTCCGTCTTAAGTTGCATGCGGTGAACTCCCACGCTTGCCCGTTTATCCAACCACTAGCCATCGCTTACAACGATAGTAACCTAACAGCCAATCAAATGTGTTTAGGGCTCAGAAAAGGAAGAACCCATTCCCAAGTCCCTTTCTTAATGAAACTCTTCTTGAAAAAAATGGTTAAAGAAACAAACGAGAGCCCGCGGAAACTGTTGCTCGAGAGGGCTCGTTCACTGCCAGCCCAGTCTGAAAAGCATCTGCTGAGCATGACGACAAGTAAGTGTAAGTAAGACATAAAAGTACCGGCGTTTGCGATGTAGCGTTTTAGCACTTCATAGTTGTTCGCAAAGACATGAGTTCATTTCCTGTATGGGGAGTTGGGACTTTTTTTTATCATCGAATGTCCCTATGTGTATGCTAGGCCAACCTATTCCTCTCAGTCGAGGTTGGGTCAAAGAAAGTTCGCCTCCTAAATGTCTCTTTTCTTCTTCTTCTTCTTCTTCTTCTTCTTCTTCTTCTTCTTCTTCTTCTTCTT